CGACGACCGAGCCGGTATAATTTTCGAAGGCGCCAATACCATGAGTGGCAGGTGGCTGAATTTTACGGAGTCTTGCCACGGTCTCCTGCCCTCTTCCTTTCTCATCCGGGCTTGGGACCGGCCATGGCGGAGTTTTAACAAATGTCATTTTCATATAATAGAAAAAGATCAAGCTGAGAAAATGAGATTTGAGGAAGTTTGTTTTTAGTGTAAGAAGCTCTTGGTTTTCAATCAAACCGCTTAACATCTTAAAAAGTTATTTCATAGTTTTGAAAATCTTGTGAAAGAAGATTTTTTCAGCTGTAAAATGGGTAGTTTTTGACAATCAAGAGAGCGCACACCCATGGCTGACTGCCGCCATTCTGGTGAAAGAATGACCAAATAAACCAACATGTGCTAAGTATAATCCATGGGAGAGTTGCATACTTCCTTGCAGCTTTCATGTTTCCCTTCAGCGTCTCCAAGAAAATCGTCATGATGAATGTATCGATTGAAACCGCGTATGTATGTCCTTGGGTCACTACGTCGGCGAAGAAAGTTGACTGATATCGCACATTAATTGCCGGACCTGGGTAGTCGTCTAGGTAGCGATTGGTCGGACGATGTTATTTTCCAGTTAACTGTCCTAATGTGTTCTACCACCTTGGGGATAGAGCGGGAACAGAAGTCGGAAAATGCCATTTTGCTGCTCATGAATCTGTGCCTACCATGGGCTTTTGATGAATGTTGCTCGCTTGCCGACTTACGGAGTATCGACAGCCTTTTTTCTGCTACTGGGTGGTAACACCCGTCACTTAAAGGGCAAAAACCTTGCCGGTGGTTTGTTAACCAACCGTTTTGAGATTTATGACATATTTTAATGATTACCATACCGGTTAAGCGGAAGCTAACTTCATTATACCTTGTGCTACCATTCAATCCTTTACTTTGATTGCTGTTCGCTGTCCATATTTGCAGGAGCCATCACTAGGAAATATGACGTCGTTTGATTTCTACCGATGGAGCAAAGGACTTCTGCTCAATTATGTGCTTAATTAAGTACATGTTCTATCAGCATTAGCAGTAACAGTCGTGTTTCGAATGATAATGATAACCGGTTGAAATTCGATCATTCTTTCGTCAATAAAAGTCCATATGCGGTTGCAATTTGTTGCCACGAATATTTTCAAAGTCTGGCCTCATTGCGAACTGTTCGATGGGCCAAGAAATCTTCAGACTTGTTGTCGTAGGTTCACGATTCGCTTCTGAAAGCATCCGTCAGAAAATAGCCGACTTCACGCAACTTTGGAGAAGCTTCGTAGCAGGTATCGATTATTCAGCGTAGGAAAGTCAGCATTGTTTTAACAACGGCGCATCGCTTGAAGGGAAACTTTTACTCGACTTTCCTAAGTATGAGATTTGCTTTCAGATTAACGGCTTATGCGGCTCGAGGGTTTAAGTTATGAATCAACCAGGACAAATATTTGGTTTGGCCGAATACTGGCACGAGGTGCAGTCACAGCAGTTCTTGACGAGCGACCATGACTCGCATCATCAGAACGTTGCAAGCAAGAAAAACAATGCTGGCAAGGAATAACAGATGGTCAGAAAGTTTGTTTGCATTAATGGTCAAATACCGTAATCAACGCGATTTTCTCCTCCAGTGGAGCGGCTAATCATGACCGCATATAAACAGAGATGGCTTCCATCTGACAGGGCTTGATTTGACCGTGAAGTTACACTTTAGAGATCTACGTCATAGCAATGAGATCTGTGACGGTTGTTTTCTGTTGCGATAGGGTATACAGCGTTCACAGAGCCAGAGGCTCGCTTTGTTCTACGGCCGGTCGTCGTTATCCGATATCCAACTGTTGGCACTGTGCATAAGGCTGGCATTCAAATCCCGCACATCGTGCGAGGGCTGAGGCAGCAATAGTGTGGCGACCACGGTCAACGAAGTCTACCTGATTTACTTGTTAGTGTTAGTCGGCATTACATTGCACTGGTCATCAGTATTGCGCATTTTCGCATTCTGGCAATGAATTATTAGTGCCAGTTGGCGACCATAGTGCGTGACGTTTAACTCAGTAGCAAGTGATCGATATTCCTCATTGATCTCGGAGACGACTGGCTGTAGTGGAGGACGAATAGCTGTAAGTTCGCGCTGGAATATGCGAGCCATCGACGATGAGCCACAGATGGCCATAACGAAGGTGACCACGGACAACAGTGATGCGACGAATACAAAGGCTCTGCAGTAATGTGTGTGCGTCCGCGTCGTTAATTCCTGTTTTACCGTCGCCTGTCGATGATGAATGCATCGCCTTGATGATCCTTGCAGCTTTCAACTGCTGACGACGACGACGACGACGACAACGACGGTGTATACGGTGTATCGGCGTACTGTGTGCAAGAGTTCTGTGCATCGCTACGGTCGCCACCAGCAGTTTGCCAGACCCTCCGTCTGAACCACCCAGAAGAAACGGTTCATGCTGCCAGTCATCGTCTAACTATACAGCAAACGTACGTAGGGCGGTCTGTCGGATAGGTGAACGGTCGGTCGGTCAGATCGGTAAGTATGGCAAGTTGAGTTGACCGGTGATTTTGTCGTGCGTGCGACCGGCTTCTCCGTTGTCGACGATTCGTTGATGCGGTTCGTTTTTATTTGCCGACTTGGCAACCGTCCGTAATCGAGTCTTGTAAGGAACCGACTCATATTTTGTGTTCGAGTCGAACCGAGACAAGCGAAGCATCTTCGCCTCGGCAAATCGACATAGGCGATTGGCAATGACGACACTTTCGTTCGACCGTTCGATACCAGCTATCAACGAGTAAAGTTTCACTGCTTTCCAACAACTGTCGAAAAACTAAACTCACTGTCTCTCAATAAGTATTAAATTAAATTGATCGTCCGGGGCGATTAACACCGGGAACCACATCAATCAGTCAAAACTGTCTCACTGAGCGATCGATCGCCGTGTATGTCTACAAGTTTTCACACGACTCTCACTTAACCCAACGCATTCACTGTGGCCGAGCTTCGTCGTCTGTAACAACGACGGCAAGTTCGGACCTCCGCGCCTTGTGCTTCCTTGGACTCTCGGTCTAGGCGACGCCATAACTGACACTTAGCTTCGGCTTGTTCGTGTCATTCGGCCATTCGGCTTTCACTTACTCGGCATCAGGTTTCGCTCGTTCCGCTTGTTTCTCAGGAAATGTTTCCGTTCAACGAATGGCATCGTATTCTTTTTTCTTCACCCCGTATTGCTCATCCACCTTATTGATACATAATCGACGACAGGCAAGTTCTTATTTTATTAATTTCAGTCACCATACTGCGCCGGCTCACATAATTTGAGTTCGTAATCTGCACGATATTTATTTCAAGCCCATTCAGCTCGGTCACTCTGAACTGACGTCACCAACTCTCAACGCCTCAGGCTTTTCGGTTTTCCTTGCTCCTTGCTCTACGTGTCTTTCAGGGCATTTTGGCGCCAGTGTTCACCTTCGTTAGTTTTGCTCCTCCTCCTCGCTTTCAAAGCCGGCTGTGCTGCTCATTCAAAACAAAGCCATAGGCGCAATGGGAAGGTGAGGAAGCGAACGGTAAGTAAACGCCACCTACTGTACAGTACGATTGTTGAATATATACCTCCACACACCGTCAGCTTTTGACAGGCTCGATGAAGACCTCAAATACCAACGGATTCACGGCAAACCTCCAACAGTTACGTGAATTAACGTTTCTGCGCGGAGGCGGTCGGTTTAAAGCATTATATCTAACCTCTACTTTAATACGCGTTGGCGTGTGTAATTTATGAAAACACGACAGTCTAATCATTCTACCTGACTCACATGTGAGGCAGTTGTTCCTCAGCCAAGAAGTGCTCGTTCACTTTTTTAGCCTGCGTCTAAAACGAACTGTTCCGTTCTTACTTCTTCTCGTCTTCATCGATTCATTGACAGTGTGGTCGATAGCCACATACCGTTTCATGAGTTTTGCCGGCGGTGCCACAAACGAAACGCATGATAGGAGAAGAGTCGGTTATAAAAGTGTCATCCATTCACCTCTTTGCCCACATATTTACTCTCTGGATCTGTCTCCTTGCCAGCCGAACTGCAGTTCGACGACAAATTTGTTTAACACAAAAACTGTCTTTCTACACTTGTTTTGTTCCTAAGATGACCCTGCTGCAGGCGAATATCAAGTGATGATTTCCTTCGTACGAAATCCTTCTAGACAGAACTCTGATGCCATGACTAGAGATACAAGAAGATGAACTGCCAAAACTGTTTATTTTGATCCATCGCCTTGAGCAACACGCATCGATCATCATTAGCACCACAAACATAACAGATGTTGCCCTTTCATACCATGAAAGAGCCTGTATATGTCAGGAACTTTGAAAGCATACTTGTTTTCGAATGAAGACTTCTTGCTAGTAGGGTCTTAATCAAATGTAGCAAATGGTGCAACTGTATCAAATACAGGGAAAATGGGAAAGTATATGCATATCTGTACCCATCTCTTTATAATAAAGGATGGTTGCAACAAAATTTATGGATCATAGTATAAAGTCTTAATGAGCGCGTTTTTGTTCCTCCTATAAGAGCTGCTCACTGAATGCAGTTGCATCGGATGACAATGCAATGCAGAGAAAATTTTATTGAGATGGATTTGCTTGCATCGAGGATTATGACCTCTGCCACAGGGAAAATCTCATTACTCTGCTTTTATCGCTATTTCAGAATCCGATTTCAGGCTCGTGGTAGATGTCCTAGGACCACCGTAGCGGCCCATATTTATCCATTCATCACGAACTGAGTGGCAGGTGAAATTTTGAAATATATATTTTGGAATATCTCTGCTGTTCTGGGTTAGTACATACTACAAGCAAAAATCATATTATTCGAATCTAAACGCAAGGTAAAGCTTCTTGATTGGTTGGTACTGATTTGCTTGAGTAGCGGTTCGTCATAATGTGATCTTATTTACTACGCAATAAAATGCATAGTAATTCATTTGTAGGGCAAACGTTTGGATACTGCAGTGCCCTGGAGTGATCATGGCCAGAACTTACGGCTATGCTGGACATTGCATGCGCCTACACTGGCTGCGTGCATCTCAACATTTCTGGTATCGGATCAATGAATCAAGGTAATGGAGTAGCGGGTGAAACATCTTAGTAAATAAGCGTATCATCCATATGTATAGATATGTATAAAATGAGCTATGCATGTGAGCATACCTGATCCGACAGCTAAGAGATGACGGCCCATCATATTCCTCAACAAGTATGGAAATCATAATGACGTCTATGATGTATGAAATAAATAAACGGACTAAAATCGCGGAGCAAAAAAATAGTTTAAGGAAGAATGATCCTTTACGTCGTTGGAGTGGTACAGAAACCTTGCCAACATTTTTATTTGATGCCCTGATGTTTTTGAACAGAGAATGCTATTTATTGCTGTCTCTAAGCCAGTCAAGGGTCATTTTGGCAATCATAAATATATCCCCTTCCTGCATGATGTTATTAAAAATTTATTTGCAGTTGAAACGTGGCACGAGAAGTTAAATGAACCCAAAACGTCACCGATCGCTGGTTGGTGTCAGCGCTTGGTTCTGCAGTCGCCGCATTGAATTTAAATGACTCGACAGCGATCATCTTCATTAGTTGCGTAATTCAGTTCCTCATGTTATATTGCAACCCGCTTGGGGTTGCTAGCGAACAGGACGCAGAATCTGGTTACAAGGCTTTACTTGCGAGCACAGCTCACAAACAAATGACAACTGCCTACACGAAATATCATGATCTCCATATCGGCATAACAGTCTGCCTCCTCCAACGCTGACTAGTCCTTTTATACGCCAGTAGATTCTTTGTTCATCCTTGGGGACCAATCCGCATTGACCTGGTGGTTGTACTTCCGGTGCTAAGTGCGCCTTTGTCCTGAGACGTGAGGAGGCCAAGCGCCCTTTCTTTTGTTCGACCCACGTTCCCGGTTCTTTGTATGAGGCAAGAGTTTGTCTTTTCGTTCGCTTCAAGCCTGAAATGGCGTGCGCGGAATCAGCGTGCAATTGCCTCCGCTTCGTTACAGTTAGTCGTCGATGACCGTTGCAATATAGCAATGGATAGCTCTCTCTGTGTGTGAATAAAGTATTATGTCTTTGTGAACTATTATTACAATTTAATTGTGACGACTGTGCGATGTTAGTACGTCAGTGCGCGGTCTGCGATTATGAGTTTGAACCTATGTCCTTGACATTTGGTCATCTGTGTCAACTGTTTGGCTTCACCCATTACATTGCTTATCAATGAAAAGCTCCAGACAAGTACAATGGGATTCCCCTGTCAAACTATGAATATCGATGATTTTCATTTTTTGGCTTCATCGAGATGACTGCGTGAGGTCGCTAAATCAGCGCGCTGTAATTTGATCGGGATTCAGTGTTAATATAATTGCAGGTGGTCATCTGTATCAGTTACTTGACTTAATCCAAAAGCTGTTTGTGCGCAGAATAGGAAACTTTCGCCATGAGTATCAATATGAGAGCTCGCATCTTCGTCTGACGATTTTACTATGATTATTACGCTGGCTCATAAAGTCCGCATGACTCAGCGTTAGCATTAACAATCGCGAGTTTAAATTTATGGATCTTTCAGAAGTCTATCTATGCTGTCTTTGTGACTAATTTCATCATGTTGCATATCAAAAAAAGGTCTCTGAGCGTAATACGTTGGTTTTGTTCCAATATTAAATTGTATATAGCTTCAACTCGAAATTTTCACTATGCTATTTTCAAATGCAGCTACTATTTATCATTCATTATTCCATACAAAACTATTAACTTGAAAGAAACGATAGCGTTATCAATCTGTTTCATAGAATTTCAATTTGTTAATATCGGCTGAATAAAACAGTCGAAGTCTAACAATGGTGAACTAAAAGAAAGGAAACAAAATTTCTTCACCATAGAAACAATTTTATTATAATAAAATGTTACGTTACTGTGTTGTTTCATAGTTATGCGCTAATCTGCGGAAATAAGTAATAATGTCCCTCTTGTGATAGTCATTTACAATAGAATTTATTTTTTCATCCGCAGTTCGATATTTTTCAACTTGACCGGTAGCTAATGACTGGCACAGGATGTTTGTAGTATATTTCCCTGCCTTTCTGCGCTCTGCGAATCCCAGCAATAATATTCAATACAATAATATTAACTCAGACTCCCGATCAAATAATAATGCGCTGACTTGGCGACCTCGTGCTGTCACCGAGATGGAATCATAAAATGAAAATCACTCATATTCATTCAATGGCAACGCAGTCGCATTGCACTCGTTTAGAACTTTCCACTGGTATAGAGTATGATGGGTAAATTCAAGCAATTGATATAGACAACCATATGCCAATGACATAGGTTCATACTCCTGACCGCAGACTGCACGCTGACGTACTGTTATCCCACAGTCGCCACAATCAAGTTGTAATAAGAAATTAAATTTCACAACGTCATCGTACTTCACTTTCAAAGAGCTATCCATTGATATATGACATGATGGGTTGAATCACGCAATTCATGAAGTTCATGACTGTCCATTCATTTATACAGATTGAATGCGACGACTGCAGAACTAAGCGCTGACACCAAAACGTCCCATTCAGAATGAACCTTGCCTGCCACGGTATAAGTGTTTTGTTCTATATAGAAATTCTTTCTACCATGATTATCAGCGGTCACCAGCAAGATTTCCAGCAATAATGCAAGATCTCGTAAGTACCTTATGTGGCATCAGAATGGCTGAAGTTGAGCACATGCTTATTTGGTCCGGAAAGAATGTTTGTACGGCTCCAGATGACGTCTTCGATGCTATCGAATTAGAAGATGAAACTGTAATACAACAGGACGAATCTTAGAAATGTGACACGGCTCACAAGTGACTGCCTCTACCTACCGATGAACAGTGAATTCATTTGTACCCAACACTCTTAGATGTTCGTGAGTATGAAATTCAATCTCAGGAAATGGCAAAGAAAACATAACTGACCGGGATTCAGCTTCGCATTTTCGGAATTTGCTTGTCTGATTTTAGGTGGCGGCGAAATCTCGTTT